AATGTAAATAATGTTTATTTTCCTAATTTCTTATCTTCCCCATAAGGAGGCTTTCTTATTGTTTATGTTTGGAGACAGACTTTGTAACTATTAGATGTGTATTGGTATATGTCCTATATCATGTTCGATTTAATTTAATGTGGTCAGGATTGAAATGTGATTCAAAGAGTTTTTTGAGACAGAGCCATTTATTCTCCGTTAGTTTCAATTCTATGATTTGATTTGATTTTTTTTCTTCACATTTCAGCATATTATCTCGGCTACTTGGCTTCATTAATTATTTTCCCAGTATTCCAGGGATTTTAGTTTCTCCGGAACATTAACTAGAATTTTTTGTAAATTTATCTTTGTTAATCTTTTGGTATTATGCCTTTCATTTTCCTTCCTCTTCTGAAGTTTTCTTTCTATCACAGGATTGCCGTCGCAAGGAAGTTTCTTATTCTATCTAGGTATTCTTGAAATGGCCTCATCTGCTTCGGCTAAGGAAGATAAGATAAAATAATTTGATTCCTGTATGTGGTTTTCGCCAAATTTAAGGACATCATTTTGAACCCTAGTTTATTACAGAATAACATGGAAGTATGTTATTTAATTTGCTGGTGTTATCATTTTAGTTAGAATTAGTCTGTGATCAGCTTCAAAGTAGAAATATTTGTCACAAATTCCCTAAACCAAGATTACGAGATGCCAAAGTTAATAATCTCATTGGTTACGTTATTAGGGATATACCATATGTCCCCGCGTTTAATGAGGCTAACAGACAAACCCGTTAACCATTACCCTATATTGAGGCGTTCATTTGGTTACAATGACTAGGACATAGACATTGAAGGATCTTACTATGCTGGAGTAATAGTTAACTAAACTAACTCATTATCCATTACTCTACCTCGAGAGTAACTTAACTGTTGGACCCATATATTCCTAATTCCATGTTCCTCCTAGCATTCTTCTCAGATAGACTCTCCTCTTACTTCTAAATTGGAACTATTCTCTGTATAATAAATTTTGCCACTATCACAAATCGCAGTTTGTATGCGTTTTACCATTAACAGTTATCACTTTTAAGCATGGTGGTGAGTGTGTTATAGCGTGGGGAAGTTTTTGGTGTAAGACCGTCTAGATATTATATTCAAGTCAAGGGAAACAGAAAAAAAAGAACAATGCTTTTGCAAAGAACATGCTATGCCACCTGGTTTACACATAATTCGAAAAACACCACCTTTCAACAATACGACGATCTAAAACGACAACGATCTAAATTATGCCAAAAAAGGAACTTATGACTTAGCTGTCTCACTCTCCTGACCTCTCCCACATTGAGGAATTCGATAACAGTCAAAGAGAATAATCAAAGTGTGAGTGCGAAACATTCTTCAGTGCTTGAATAATGCTTGGGAAGCTCTGCCATCTACTTTTTTCAAAAACTGTTAGAAAGAATGTCAAGAATTTGTAAAGCAGTATTTAAACCAGGTGGTGGTTTTATTGACCAAAACAAAATATGATGATGTTGAATGATAATATTTTTATACTTAATTGCGTGTTTATGTCAAAATAACAGCAAAATGCACTTTAATTTTAACAAGTTACAAAAAGATATCCTTTAAAATGTTTTTAAAGAAATTCATCCCGGTCCCAAACTGTTTACTTGTAGTGTTAGTGATTACATTTAACGGTTGACATTCGTATGCAATTATAACAACTATGATTTGACAATAATTCTGACAACCACATTCAGTCCAACATAACATTTCAAAATGTCGAATTGATAGATTTTGACACATTATATATCTAGAATCATCGATTAATTACAACAAATTTTCTATAGAACTATGATTTCATACGTGTGGCGCATGCGTACGATGGGCACCGTTCAGCTTACTATACCAACAGAATAAGGGGGCTATTCGAGAATTAGTTATTAACAGTGAATTGTTTCTAGTGAACTCAAATTCCATTTTCATTATTATTTCATGCTTAAAATGATCAAAGTGTATTAAGCTGTCATTGAATTATTTTATATTTCTGCCTTTCAGTTCTCTATTATGTCCTTTGAAAAGATATATCTGCCGAAACGCGTCACAAGTAACATTTTTATATTTTTTTTTAATTGTCATACAATTTTCCAAATCTCTCTCTCTCTCCCTTTCTCTCTCTCTCTCTTTCTCTCTCTCTCCCTCTATCTCTCTCTCTCTCTCTCTTCTCTCTCTCTATATATATATATATAATTAACTGGATTTTTTTTTTTACATTTTTCTCATTCACGGACGCCATTGTCTTTAGAGGCTTGTCTACAGACCAAGTTCACATAGCAGTAAAATTTTGAATATGTAAGATTTAAATATTACGTGGTGGGGTGGCACCAGAATTTTTCAAATACCAAAGTTGGGCATGACCCCAAAATTGGTTGTGAACAACTGCTATACAAGGTATGGAATTAGAAGACATGATAGTGTACTCTGGGGATAATTTTACCCTGCAACGAAATATACTACCTACTTTATGTGTCGTGGTCTTTAAGTGTTTCTCTTTATGCTATAATTCCCAGTCTTCTGTTGTCATCCATTTGCAGAAACTTGTTAGTTTGGCTTCTTCATGATTCCTACTGTCTCATTCGCCTTCAGTTACGCCCAGTGAGTATCAAATTCTCCAAGCCCTCTTTTCTCATTATATGTCTTAAAATGTTCAACTCATTCTGATTCTTTGTGTAAGTGTCCTTTTTGTTTCCCTTTTCTTTAACATTTCTTTCTTGCTCACATGCCCCTCCACGATATTCTCATCATCCTTCTGTAGCATCATATCCTTGTTGTCTCATATTTGAAGAAATTATCCAGCATTCACTACGATAAAATATAAAGTCATATAAAAAATAGAAATATTAACTTGAAAAATTAAGACACTTTCTTAAAATAACCTTGTATGGAAACGAACTCATTCAGAAATTTCTAAACTGGCAATTTTATATAACCGTTTTCTCAAAGATATCTTCAAAAGAGAGTGCTATAGATATTAAAAGATACGATCTGGTGGTAGCACCTGTTAGGGTTCCAGCTATGGGCAATTACTTAACACCCGCCCAAACTGGGGTCAAAACACTATGAAAGTATAAAAATAAGTTTTAATATCAGTAATACATTTTTGTAAAAAATTATCACCAGCAATATATTTTCGAAGAAAAAAAAATCTTGACAGCAATAAAAATCTTTTCGGCATTAATTAACCCATTGAGGATGATATGCCGCAAACAAAACAAATCAAACCAAAGAATGTAGAAGGAAACTCTCTTCAATATTAGAAAGTGCTATAAGTTTTCAGCCATTTGCGAAGTTTAATTTCCTGAAAAGTCTCTCTGAAATATCCTCTCCATATAAGCTTTTTCATAGATCAATGAATAAAAAATGGCTTCAGGCTAATGAATCCTTCGGAACTTAAAGCAAATAATCCTTCATCAAAATATTCTAGTTCCACGTTTAATGGATGTCAGTTATCGCCTGTTAATTCCCTTTTCCAAGTTCTTCACTGTCTTAAGCGGGGATTGAACTCACACTCTTTGGGCCCTGTCACTAACTAACGCCTTTATCCACTGTACCATGTGTCCTTGAGTAATAAATAATGATCTAATCAATTGTTAACACTTCAAAAAACAAAAGGTTTGGAAGGAAACTGCCATCAGTAGTAGAAGAGCTATGATATCTAGTGAACTTGAGAAGCTCAATTTCCCGAAAAATGATGTTAATAAAAATATTTTATAAATGGCAGTCGACAGTAACGTTAAGTATCCGATCAATAAATGTTGAATTACTTTACTATTATCATTACTCAAGTATCTTTGAAAATATTAATGCGTTATTAACAGAAAACAATAGAAGCATTATTAATTTCAGATACATTGAGCAACGGAACATAAGAATGTAAATAGAAAAAAAGATATTTTGCATCTCACTCTATAAAAGGCAGGATCTGTGTGTGTGTGTGTGTGTGTGTTGGTGTGTGTGTGTGTGTAAAAAGAATGCACGGTCGCAGTTTTCGACGGATTTGCACCAACATTTACATGCACATACTTCAAATTAGTGGGAAGGCCAAGACCGACTTTGCATTTCCCAATTCCCATCGATAATGGAAATAATCAATTTTTTTCATGCTTTTACGGCAGTTTTCATGTAGTTTGCAGCCATTTTGTACTGGCCAGAATGAGAGCCAATAGCTAGCTGTCACGAATAGGCAGGAAGATTCTATTGGCCAGCGTGAGAGCCAACATCTGACTGACACGAATGTTAACTAGCATGCAAAAAAAATCGATAGCTTCATTCGTCACAATTGGGAAAATTTTAAATCTGCATGGTAATTTACTCCAATTGGCTCATTCGCTTGCTTAAACTCAACGTTGATTCTGATTCCGCAGAACTGGGTTGGGTGTGAAAAAGTATTTGTTATTAACATTCTTCTTTCATTCGGTTATTCCAGTTACGAGTCATTTTTAAAGCTGATCGTTTTGTGTTCATTTTGTTTAGTTCTTTTTCGTAACAGATTTAATGTTTAGTATAGAGCTTGGAAAAAATTCGCAGTGTGAGATAGGCAAGAAATTAGGCATGTAGCAACAACAGCACGGCAAAGGGCACTTCTTTAAAGGCAAGGAAGGGCAAAAATATTTTAAGTCAAGTGATAGCGATTGCTGTATGTGCCGTACGATTTTTTAATCAAGCACGGGCAACGCCGGATCATGCTACTAGTATAGTATATCGCAACGATTTCTGCCATCTTTTGCGCAATGAATAATGCGCCTTTCCTGGATTTATGTATATACTTCAGATCTCCAAGATGCCTACGCAGCGAATGATGACCTATATTCTGTTGTTTTTCTCGATGATTCAAAAGTCAGATATTAAACAATGTTTATCATTTGTAAGCCTTACAAAAAAGTGTCGATTAGTTGCGTGAATGTGAGTCAGAAACTCGGCTAAACAGATAAATATATGAAAAAGGCATGATATACAAATTACAATATAGTAAGCACGGTCCTTCAATGCAAGAAAATATAGAAACATGCATAGATAGATAGATAGATAGATAGACAGAGAGATAGATATATAGGTAGACAGATAGATAAATAACTAGATTAATAAATAAAACATCTTTTACATCCGAGAACAT